TTAATATAACTTATGAAGTGATCACCCTGATATTTCTAGTACCCATCTGACACCACACACACTTATTACAATATTATTAACTATATTCCCTATGCCGTACGGTACACCCCTGTGACTGTTTCTATGACTGGCAATTTGTACTTCTTAAACAAATTTAAAATAGAACCATCAACACCATAATCATCAGTCTCATTTTTAGATGAGAAGATGGTTTAGAACCGGTATCATCAGTGTTCATCACGTCAAACATAAATCGTCAGAGTTCAGATTGGAACTCCCATTTTTCTGACCCTCCGTGCTGCATTCTGTGCTGCAACACTGTCCTAGCATTGGCGTGCCACTCTGGGATGATTTGCGTTTCCAGGGAGAGGCGGGGATTATGTGGTGTCAGTTGTCTAGAAGTGATCCTGGGAGGCAAAAGTACCCAGCCTGTCCCCGTTGCCCCCCAGGAGTGCCCATGGGGAGGAGATGGGAATTTCAGTTGAAAGAATGATGAAATCTGAAGGCCTAGGGGGGGAAATTGGCCCTCGTGGATGGAAAGTCTCCTACAGGAGAGGAGAAAACAATGAGAGTCAGGTGTGAGTTGAAGAGCAGTGTGAGTTCAGCCTGTCTTGGTGTCTTCGTGTCATCAAGGTGTCTTGATGGCACTGCACTCCCCATCTCCAGCATCTCAGGGGACAGGTGCGCACAGTGTGGGAGGGAAGTCATGGTCTGGAGAGTCTGGAGGCCCGTGCGAGTGGCTGTAATGAGAGGTGTTCTCATGGTTCTTGAGAAAATTGCCCTGGGGGACAATGAGGAGTTAAGGTCAGAGCCATGAGCTTCCACTGTGTCCAGGCTCAATCCGGATGTTTCAGAGAAAATGAGGGAGATGGTGACAGTTGAAGGTCACTGCCCAATTCCAAGGTAGTTCACAGATTGCCGAGTTCCCTTGGACCCCGGAGAGGTTCCCCTGGATGTCAGGTTCAGAACCCCTGACCCAGGGCTTAAATCGGGATGCAAGTAGCGTGTGGTAGATGTTGGCACGCAGGCAAATGTATTTTTACGCAGGTTATTAGTCTCCTCTCTGCTCTACTAACTTTCTTGGCAAATTTAATTTTAGAAAGCTAATGGCAGTGCTGTTCCCCAGACTCCAAGGAGCACCTTTGTCATCTTCCACTGTAGTCCGCCTTTAATGGGACACTAATATATTTTGACATAAAGGGACATGACTGAATTACTTGGCTTTCATTTCATCTGTGTGTACTTTTTTCCCCCATGTTCTAGTTGTCTCTTTTCACGTTATTGATGGCCCTGTAAGCAACCAGGTGGGAGAAGACCCAGGAGAATCGTGACACCATCCAGGCTAGATAACGCTCTGCCAGAGGAAGCCCAACGGCTTGTCACAAGGGTCTAGGGAGGTTCCTGTAGATGCCTTAAGTGTCTCCTGACACCTGACATTAGCAGATGCTGTGGCTTATTAGGCAGAACCTTCTCTAAGAGCAGAATCTTCAGAATAATAATGAGACTGATGATGGAGCACTTACAATACACCAGACAGTTTTCTAAGCACATCAACTGTATTGACTCGATCAATTCTTATAATATCCCTGGGAGGTGAATACTCCTATTGTCTTTTTTTCCTATGAGGAAACTGAAGCACAGAGTTTCCTGGTGAAGCAGGAAATGAGAGAACTTCCCTTCAAATCCAGGCAATTGGACTTGGAATCTGAGCTGCCTCCCTTAGCTACTGTTTACGCCGGAGTTTTCCATCACGGACTCCATGATGGAATGCCCTAAAATTCGCTGATGGGCCTCTCATCTATGGCAACATTTGCTAGCAGGCCAAACACAAGGGACCCTGATGAGGAAACTGGGTTGAAGCGAGCTGCTGCCGGCAGGAAACGGGGATGCACTGTCGGCAGAGACAGGAGCAGAGAGCAGGACTGTGAATGTGTAGGAAAGTGGGTGGGAGAGAGTGACAGGCACTAGGGAGAGTCTCTGTTTTCTTCCATCCTGCATAGCTGGTCATTCAGAGATGAAATGAGATAATATGTGAATTCCTGTGGGGTCTGAAAGTTCTATTCAACTGAAAGGTCTTTTCGTGCATCCCCGATGTGCCCGCCATGAGCCAGGGAGATTGGTGGGAGGCTGGAGTTCAGGAGGCAGCAGAGTGTGGTTGGAATTGGTGGGAACAGGCAAGAGGCGGGAGGTAGAAGGGTGTGGCAGGGGAACAGATGCTGATGGATTTGACAAAGGTGATAGACACTTGTTAGCCCGTGGGGAGCTCCCTGAAGGAGCGGTGCCATGACTGGTCTGCAGGCAGTCCCTGAATCTTACTTCTCAGCCTATCGTTGCTGCTGTAGCCAGGTCTTCATGTTGGTCACGCCAGCCCACTGGAGAAGACTGGAGCTCTCTGCCAGGAGATCTGCTGTTAGCTCAAATAGCCTATAGGCAGAGCTCTTCCAACCTCTGCCCTCCCCCATCTCCCATTACAGAGTCTGATTCTGTGGTTCCAGCTTCCCTCTGATCTGCTCTGCTTGCAGGAAAACATTTACCAATTACAGTCTATGCAGGTCACTGGGGTGAGCTTGGAAATAGAAAGATCAGGACCCCCCCCTTTATTTCCGGATAAGCATTTGGTATGAACATTGTATGATAACTCTGTTAATCACTAAAAGTCTTTTCTATCTACTCACATTTAATACCTGGTACCCTGTTATAATTCTTATTTTTACTCTTGTCCTGAGATATATTGTTCATTTACATATTGACATACTTTTAAAATAATTATGTTATTTTTCTAAAAACAATGATACTCAATGTAAAATAATCCCAAAATCCCATCATGTGGAGATAACCACTTGGGGCCAGCTGGTTGAACATTTTCCCTCAGACACTTCTCTACATATGCAAACTCCAAGGTTCCACAATTTTTGTGAAGATTATGCCATGTGTAATTTTCCACAGCATTTTTCACTTAAGAGTATATTATTCTCAGACCTTTCCCTAGATAAATGTTGATCTACATACTCATGTATAATATTTGCCCAGTGTTCTCTTGTGTGAATGCACCACAGTTTGCTAAACCATCCCTGTTTATTGTTTATTGATAAAGAAAGGACTCTGAGCACCACACTGAGATCATCTGACTGTTAATCCAGGCTCTGTGGCTTTGCTGTCAAAACCACGGGATTCTTGGCATCATACAACATAAGGAACAGGAAACCATGGAGTGAAGGGTCCCGGGTGGCCCTCCCAGCTCTGCCACTCACTGGCTCTGTGACCATAAACTCCCTTTGTCTCTCTGGACCTCACTTTCTCTATCGGTAAATGAGGGTATGGATATGCATAACACTTAAAGCCTGTTCCACTAATCTACAAACATGCTCTCAAACCATACCTCCCATCACAGCTTAAATACTTATGTCAGTTTTATTTGTCAGTGCCTGTCAATGTCCAGCACAATGTCCAATACAAAGGGGACACCCAACAAACATGCTTTGACTGAATGGACCAAAGCAACTGCTGAATCTGGCTTCTCAACTGTCCCTCTGAAACATCCTTCTTCTGGTTGAGTATTGGCTTAATTTTTAATTCAGTAAACCTTAGACATTTTTATCTGTCTACTACCTCTCTTTAGAATTCATTCACTTAAATCTAAACCTGTGTGTATGTGTTTTGGGGGAGAGAACTGTATAGATGTGCACATATATTAACACATGAATATATATGGGGTTTTAGGGGACAGTGAGTAAAGTGAGACTCTGTGTGGAGGGCATTAACTGCCTTAAAATGTGGTTTTAAACAAGAGAATTAGATTAAATTTTTTTTTCTCTGCCTCTTTCAGAGTTGCAATGAAATTAAATGTGTGTGTGGATGTTTGTGTGTTTCAGGTGGGGGTAACAGTATTCAGACAGTGTTTCTGAAGTACCACTTCTTTCTTCCACCCATCCTTTCCTTGTTTCTTTCCTTCTCTCCTTCCTCCTCTCCTTCCTCCCTCCCTCCCTCCCTCCCTTTACTGAAAAAAATTAAAGAGTAATGCTATTCTTTACACTTTAGTTAGTGGTGGCTTTCATCCCATAATGTAAGAAAGGAGGAGCGATCCTCTACTTGAGAACATTCTCTGAACCAGTGAAGTCTAAGTATAAGATAATATTCAAGGACAAGTAGAGATAGCATTATTTTAACATATTAATATATTGACCCGTAATGTTGATGAAAAAAATTTGTTTCTCTCAACTAATACACACAATTAAACTATTTTGAAAATATCACTTAAGAACACCCCAAGGAATCCAGGTAAAGACGTGAGGATGAACAGGGTGCTTCAGAGAGCTCAGTGCTACCTCTTTATTGTTTAATATTCTGAACTGGTTTGGATTGGATTCTTACAAAATGAAATACATACTTCATTCCCTACCTAAAGAGAGTACACTGCAGACATTTTTCAGTCTTTTCCTTTGTTTTGCGGTGCTCAGAGCCGCTGTCACGGGCAGCGTTGACTGCAGTACGTTTGACAGAGAGGGGCTCTCAGAGCCCAGTGAGGTGCCTACAGCTATTTGCGTCGCAGTCCTGTGCTTTCAGGACCCTTGGCTTGCTCTCCATAGTTCCCCTGTCTCTTCCGAGGGTGAAGCCGTATGCATATTTGCCCAGTGCCTTTCTTTACTGCTCTGCGCCACTGCTCACTGTTCCAGACTTGCTGCATGTAATTTTTCATGGACCCAAACACATGATCTTATTAGGATTTTGACAAAGTTAAGAGCAAATATCATATGAGTGGTCTCTAGGAGCTTTTCCTGCTTGTTTCCAGGTTCTTAACCTAAATTTCAGAAACTCGGGGTTTCCAGAGAAGCGTTCTCCAGATAATTGCTGGAGTCTGGTAAAGACCCCACAGTCCTGGTTTGAATGTGAACTTCTTCTAAAGCATGAAGAGAGGACATCGCCTTTAGTCTCTCTGGGTGCCTAGGACTCCCAGGCCTGCTCTCGCCTTTTTGTCTGACTGTGCGGTTCTTGTTTTGCAGTCCACAGTCTGTCCCAGACCGCCTGAGGATCCGCGTGAACAAAATCAGTTTGCAAGACTATGAAGGATTCCACTATGACAAGGAGAAACTCCGGGAAGCTTGTAAGTTGGAAGCGCCGCATTGGTTTCATGTGACCCACCTCTCTCCAGCTTCCTGGTCCTCCTTGGTTTGATGGATAGATTCATCTTGTATAGGAAAACCATGGTTAGGGAAATGATGGGAAGGGAAGTAATGCATGAACCCCAAGTGATGATACATAGGCTGAAGAAAATGCTATCAAATTATTCCGCTCAAGATGCCACGTTAGGACCTCTTGGTTTATTAACCACTTTAATCTCAGCTTTGCCTAAAATGAGAACGCAGAACGTTGGTCACACCACATGGTATAGTAACATCCAGAAAACGCCTGAGACAACACAAGTGTCTCCTGGCAGCTGGCATTACCAGATACTGGCCTCATTCTTCATGCAGGTGAGACGGTTATCCGTGAAGACACATCCAATGCATTTAGCTATTATGGGATGTATGATGTGAAAGAAAGGCCCACCGGATACTCAGTGTCAGGATAAAGTGTTTCATTCATGATATGCCAATGTTTCTAAAATCTTAAACTGAGTCCACATATGAACTGTTTCTCCATGTTCATATTTTCTATATATTTCTTTAAATATAGAAATACATTTTAGTTTCTGTCATCTGCCCTTCACTATTTATCGGGCACTTTGAGATTCCAGTCGCTATGTCAGGCCCCCGTCTCTGTCATGATATATGAGAAACCTGGGTAAAGTGGGCCAGAAGGTAAGAACACAGGTGTATCAGATGTTAGGGACCCGGGCTCCCCCACGATGCTGGGGGCCAACAGTCGATTGCAATGATGTCAGAGGAGATCGGGGCCAGTGCTCAAGGGAGGCCAACAAAGAAAGGAATTGTGTACAGAAGCAGAGGCTTAGGAACTAATTCTCCAAACTGGCTCCAGGCATGGACCTGCCTGGAGTTGTGGAAGATGCAAATGGTTAAACTGGGCAAAGATGCAGTAAAGGAAGCGTCCTTGAGATAATGACTTCCAAGCTTTGATTCCTGGGATCTGGAGTCGGGTGTGGTGGACGGGAATCCTGAAGTCCAGGGACACTCTCGTGGGTGGGTGCAGGGACCTTTGGATTGGAGGTGGCAATGCACAAGGATCCATTTCCATGGTAGGCCAGTCCCCACCTAGGGAATTCTGGGTGTAATTACTGCCTCCTCACTCTTCTCTGCTGCTTCAGCTTCCTCAGCCCTCTTGGTTCTCCTCTAGTTTCTCCCCAGCCTTATCCCTCTGTCCTCCCCTCTCATTTCCTTGCACAGGAAAGTTGGAGGTAAAGGAGGAATAATTCCCTGAACTTCTGCTTTCCTCTCTTCTATAAATGACAGGTTACATTTCTCATGTAAACGAGATTATAAGTGACAGACTAGCACAAAATCTAATTTAACGCATAACACGACAGATGCATATGTTTGCAATGGGAGGTATAGCTGCAATGTAAATGAAACCTTCAGAGATTACGGATTGTAAAGAATAGTTTTTTATGTTCTTGATTGGCTCAAACTTCTCAGCAACTAGATTACAATGTTTGAAAAAAATTAAAAAAAAGAATGGATCTCACGTGAGTTCTATTTTGCACTTACCATCAACTCTGAAGAAAGTCATTTGGGAGTGGAGAAGCGCTTGGAATTTTTGCCTTATCTGAGGATTTCAATGATCTGTTCTATCTTTCTAGGCATTATCTGTCCATCATTGCCAGAGGTGGCTGTGATTTGAGTTTTTATAAGAAGATGACATTTCTTGGCAGGTGCTCTACTCATCACTTCTTACCTGATAAAACTTCTATGTGAAGAAACTTCCTATATCAAATTTGGAGATGTGAATTGATATAAATATACTGTTTTGCTGTGTATCATGCACACTTTTTGCCCACATTTTTGAGGGAAAATAAGGATGCGCGTTATACATAAGTAGTGCTAAAACATGCGTGTTCACGATACACAGCAAAATACGGGTAAATCCAACAAATTCAGCAGTGTCTTTGAGACCCAAAAGGACAAAGAAACACTCACAGAGGGCCTCAAGAAGTTACCTCAGTCTAAAGATTTGAGTTTAAAGAACACTTTTGTGAATTAGAAGTAAAAGTGGCCAACTTGGCTATCCTGCTTTTAATATATGGGGATGATGCCTTTCATGTCTGTTTGTCCTTTGGGGTTACTACTTGTTTCTTGCCCTCTTTTGCTCAGCTTCCTCTTTTGCTCAGCTTCAACTTGCAACTAAGCACAGATTCGTGGGAAGGCTGGCAGAAGTCAAGTTGGTTATAAAGGCAAAACCCAGCTCATATCCATAGGTGATATACATGACAAAATAGGTATCTTCTTTTAGAAGCATTAATTAAATGAAATTCATAGGACATGTCTACATAAACGGGATTTTAGGAATGTACCTGACCTGCATCCCAGAAAGAAAAAAGAAGCGAATCCTCTTACTTATTTTGGGTCATTTATTTGTGGTCAGCATTCAAAGTCTAAACTAGAGCAGTACTGCATTGCTGGGTTTAAAACATTAGTCCCCTTTCTTGATAACACACCAAGTGATTCATCCGGGCATCAGGGACTGTTTGCCATCACCGTTTAACAGGACCTGGCTCACGTGCCTGGGTCATTATTTATATTACATTACAAATCGCATGTGTGTTGCTAACAAAGCCCTGCTTCCGTCTGTAAGGCAGGACTCCTTGGTAATTACAGGATGGCAGCCCCTTTAATTACCTTGCTTATTTCAGCTTATAAATAGATGACTGTGCTATTACAATACCTTTCTTTTCCCTTTCACTTAGACCCAACTCATCTAGGGGCATTCACCCTAAAATAATAGCACAAAAAGAGGTTATTCTTTGCCAGAGTTCCCCCTCAGCTCTCTCTGGTAAATTTCAGACTTACTTAAAACAATTAGAGTCTTATTCACTGGATTTACGAATTATTCATCCTCAAGATAATGGTTATGAAGTCCAAGGGAGGAAAGCCTATCCACCCTAAGAGATAGAACATAAGGAGAAAGTGGCCATGTTAAAAAAATATTAAAGGAAATTTATAATAATGACAGCAGAGAGTCACTCTTAGAATCTGAATGGAGTGTATCAATGGGTCCGTAATAAAGCACAGAATCATATCGTTGTCGGGCCCAAGACAGGCTGCCCCAAGCTGTCCCCCAATAGCATATTGGTTATTTTGAATTAAAGTTACTTAAGAAACAGCCAGTGTAAGGACAACACTGACCCCCTCTGTCCCCTGAAAAGTAGGAGAGAAATCCGCCATGTGAAAGGACCTGCCTTCGCACCTGGAGGCAGAGAGCTCTGTTAGAATTAGGTTTAAAGAGCCCAGAGCCAAAGAGTCTGTGTAAGCAAACCTGGCACCTCCTCACTGACGTCCTACCCCAGCCCGAACTTCGCTCAGGTTCCTCACGGAGCGGTACCCAGACCTGCTTAGATTCCTCTCTGACGAACACTGACCTTGTTGTCCTGACAACTCACAAATTATTGCTTATCCAAAAGCATACAAGGGTGTCTGGTTCAGTCATTTCTTTGAGCCTCACTTTGTGATTGGACTATCATATTATAACCACCTGTGCATATGTATGAAGTTAGTTTTTTCTCTTGTTAATCTAGCCTTGTGTCTATTTTATTATTTTATTACTAGTCTGGCTATAGGAACCGAAAAAGTTTATTGGGTGGGAATTCTTCCCTTTCCTTGACATAGTCTAACTGAAGGATAGTCAGTTTTTAAAATCTGTTCTATTTCTAACTTGAAAAGAGTTTCATTGCTATATGACATATGTTTTTATACCTAGGATAATAACTTGATCCCGGCCAAGATTTAACCCTATCCCATGTATACTGCCTAAACTTTACTTCTGGCATAGCTTACTCTGCCCTTTTGAATTACTATGATAATTGATGCAAGTCTAGAGCTTAAAACAGAAAAGCAAAAATCAGTTTAAAACTAATTGAAACAGATGTAGCCTATAAAGGTAGGAGGGGACTAATGTTTGTTGTATATCAAATATAATGCCCTCTTTTATCCGTTAGCTCAGTATGATCGATATTATCTGGATATTTATAGTATATATGATATATAATCTCAGTATAGTATTCTCTGGGAAAGACTAATGATATTGTAATGGTATTGCCCTGCCTTTTGTTTAGTGACTTAGTAGAAGAGTCAGAAATGTTTGTGTTTGAATCTCCGTTGCAACCTTGACATAGTAATTTCTCAGATGACCAAATATCTCATCTCTAAAATGAGAATATAATTGCAACCTTGTAGAGTGCTGAGGATTATATATAATCCTGTGTTTGGAACCCCTGGTGCAAAATCTGGCATATTAGCATGCTCCCCAAAAAGAGCAGCTAGGATTGCTGTGGTTGCTATTGCCAAAGACATGCTACTGTCCCACTGGTCCCTAATCTCAGGTCCAAAATCCAGGCTCAGAGCATCTGTGCACACCTCACTTCAAAGTGCACATGCTGCTACCTGCCAAATCACTTCCTCACATTCAAAATAGAATTGAGAACACTGATAATATCACAGAAAGATTGTGGGAAGAAAATATAACTAATCATTCAACTTCCTTTTATTGCATCTGCAAGTGGAATAGACTGCTATAATGCAAGACGTTTAAACCTGTTTATGTATACATTGGATGCTCATATTTGGTGATTTGATAAGATATCTGCAAATTCCCTTTCTTAAGTTTTTATACAGTCTCCTAATTCCATCAGCTGGTGTCCCTCATCAAATTTTTTAAAAGACTTTTTTGTTTTGGAGTATTTATAGATTTACAAAAAGGTTGCCCAGGTACTACTTGGAGTTCTATTATATCCCTCACCCAGTTTCCCCCATTATTCAGCATTTTATACTACCATGGTATCTTTGTCAATGAGACTGATACGTTTTATGACTATTAACCAAACTCTGGACTTTGTATCCCAGTACCTGATCCAGAACATCACATTGCACTGGGTTGGCATGTCCCTCCAGTCTTCTTTGCTCTTGTCAGTTGCTCAGTCTTTCTTTTTTCCCC